TTACTTGATTTTTTGATGGACATTCTTTCTGGTATAAGATGGTATCTCAATATAGTTTTGACTTGCATTTCCCTAGTGGTCAGTGATGTTGAACATTTTTTCATGTGTTTATTGGCCATTTAGAGTTGTTCGTTTTTGTTTTGTTTTTTGTTTTTTTGGTACTTTTGAGACAGTGCCTCACTATATATAGTCCAGGCTGGTCTTGAACTCACTTTGTAGCCAAAGCTGGCCTTGAACTCCAATAATCCTCCTGCCTCAGCCTCCTGAGTGCTGGGATTACCGGTGTGTACCACCATGCCTAGTTTATACTTCTTTTAAGTGTCTATTCATTTCAGCTGCCCATTTTTTGATTGGGTCTTTTAGTTTGGAGAGGGGGTTCGAATTTTTTGGTTTTTTATATATTCTAGATGTTAGTCCTCTGTCCAAGGAATAGCTGGCAAAATTTTTTTCCCTCTTCTGTAGCTTGTCTCTTTATTGTGTTGGTTGTTTCCTTTGCTGTGCAGAAGCTTTTAAATTTGATATGATCCTATTTGCTGATTCTTGGTATTATTGCTTGTACCACTGGGGTTCTATCTGTTCAGAAAGTCCTTGCCTATTCCTATATCTTCAAGAGTTTTCCTTATTTAATCTTATTTAATGTTTTAACATTTAGATTTTTAATTCATTTTGATAGTTTAGTACATGGTAAGATATATGAGTACAGACTCAATCTTCTGTACGTGGATATCCAATTTTCCCAGCACCATTTATTAAAAAGGCTATCTTACCTTCAGTGTATGTCTTTTATCCCTTTGTCAAAGATCAAATAGTTGAATGTATCTGGGGTTGTCTCTGCTTCCTCTATTCTGTTCCATTGATCTACACACCTGTTTTTGTGCAGGAACCATGCTGTTTTAATCACAATAGCTTTGTAGTATAACTTTAAATCTGGGATTGTGATATCTCCTCCTTTGCTTTTGTTACCCAGGACTGCTTTTGGTATTCTGAGTTTTTTCTGATTTCATATGACTTTAGGATTTTTTTTCTACATCTGTAAGAAATGCTTTTGGTATTTTGATTGGGACTGCACTAACCTGCGGAGCATTAACACTAATTCTCCATAAAGGCACCTAATTCTGACAGACCCATGTTTATTCTTTAGAATATTTCTACTGATAAATTATTAATTTTAATTTTATGGTTTATTATACTAAACAATAAGTATGTAACAAGAAAAAAAATCACAAAAAAGTATTACATTTTTAATATTTATTGTTTATTAAAAAAACATCAAAATTTTCAACATGAACTGTTTTTTGGTGTACAAAGTCTAAAAAAGGGGCTGGGGATTTAGCTCAGTGGCATCATACCTGCCTTGCAAGAGCAAGGTCCTGAGTTCAACCCCCACTACCAAAAAAAAAAAGTCTAAAAAAGAACAACATAAATAAATTCTTATATGTACTACAATGAAAATGCCAATAGCACTTTACAAAAAAAAAAATGATCTTTACTTTTATTATCATACCTAAGGAGTCTGCGCATGTGACAACACATTCCATATATAGATATCACTTACACTGACAGCACATGTGTTTTGTTTTCCTGGTCCTTTTGTAGGACATACTTGACATCTCACTGCTGTTTTGTCAGGAGTTTCTTATTATATTATACAATGTGTAGTTAATAGGAACAGAAAATACCAATAAAATAAAATATTAAATTCTTAGTGTGTATTGTGCATTTAGAAGAGACATCAGGGCCGGGGATTTAGCTCAGTGGTTCTGCCACCTGCCTCACAAGCACAAGGTACCGAGTTCAATCCCCGGTACCAAAAAAAATGACTATAGAAGAGACATCAACATTTTCTCATCAGCTGTGTAGTTGCTTACAAACCTAAAAGATAACATCAGAAATGAATTTCTATATGAAGTACAATGAAAATACCAATAGAACTCTACAACAAAAATAAGCTTTGCTTCAACTGTCACACTCAAGGCAGCCTTCACACATGACAACTGCATGTTCCATGCACACGTCTCACACTGACAGCACGTGTGCTTAGCTTTCTTTTCCTACTGGCAAGCCATTCTTGTCACTTCTCTTCTCTTTCCATTTTGTCAGGAGCTTCCTATTATATTGTACAACATGTACTTAGCAAGGAAATAAAGTATCAATAAAATAAAATATCAGATATGTAATGAGTGCTTAGAATAGGCACCAATATTTTCATATCAGCTGTTTTCTTGCTCACAAAACCTAAAAGGTAACATCAGAAATAAAAACCTATGTGAACTATAATATAAACACAAACAAAAGTTTACCACAGAAATAATCTTTTTGTCAACTGTCACAGCCATGGCAGTCTTCACATATGCCAACTGCATGCTCCACACACAAGTATCACTTAATTGATACCATGTATATTTTGTTTTCCCATCCTTTGTTGTAGGGCACATTTGACATCTTTTTGATTTCCTGTTGTCCTGATAGGTCTTTGTGATGTTGTGCCTGTCTGTTCACATGTCAGCTCACCAGTGTGTTCCTCAATTTTTTTGCATAGTTCCCTGAGAAGAAACATTTTCTTTTTCCTCTGTTGTAAATGATCTCTTATGAGTTCCAGCCCCAATCCACTGAGAAAATTTCTCCATGATACTTTGCACTTCTTATTTTCTTTGTAAACTATCAAACTATGCCACATACATTTAGGATTGAGCAAAACACAACCATTGGCCAATGCTTTGTGTTCCAAGTGACATCACAGTTGCTGAATAACTCATCAACAACATCTACTCGACCTTTGGTTTTGTTGTAGAATGTTTCCATCTCAGGCTTCTGTTTTGTTGAGGTTTCCCTATCAATATTTCCATCATGGTGCAATGTTGATATCAGGAGTACCAGTTTGTTTTTCTTGTCATATACCAGGCCAATGTAAATCTCTCTGAAATCCAAAGATTGTACTATACAATTCTCTGTTTTGAAATTGGAACATTTCATTTGGAATTTCTGCTTTGTTCCTGTGTACAGTTCCTGCGCTGGTCAACTTGTGCTCTGTTAGCAAATGTAACATCAACTGGAAACTGGTAAACCAAATGTTGAATATCACTTTCTGATTAGTTTGGGTGATGGGAACAAGAAGTCTCTTCACAATATCATTTGGTTTATTACTATATGAATAAGGACCTGATGGCTGAGTTTCAGGATAAATGTCTAAACTGAAAGCATAATACGTCTTTGCATCTTACAAGGGCATAAATTTTTATGCCATATTTTATCCATCACTTTTCCATAAGTCTTTTATATTCCCACAATTACCATGAGAAATACCTGCTAAGTACAGACCTATGAATGCTTTTCAGCTAGTGAGGGGTCATAATAAATACATTTTTGAATATGGCTATCCGTGTATACAAAATGTTTTACTTGCATTTCAGCCCGTGTATGTCACAGCATCTTGCAGCATTTTGTCTGCTACAATTTCCAACACTGAAGGGCAGTGCTGGTATTCTGTCCAGTACATTGGATCCTTTCATTTGGTTGTGTGGCCATTTCACAACATTTCTACTAGTCAAATATGTACTCACATTGTTGTTTTCTTTGTCATCTGAATCAAAGAGGTCTGCAATCTCTGTGTCTGTATCAGTTGATTCTTGCTCCATTTTACTGCCACAGAACTTTGGCTCACATGATCAATGTCAAAGTCATCATCATTATCATCATACATCCACACTACTCTTTTGTTATGAAAACATGTATTTTACCATAATGGATCATCTTCATCATCCATGCTTGAGTTATCTGATAATTCACTTTTGACCTTCTCCAAAACTTGCAAATCTGGTTTTCCATGTGCCACAGTACTAATTGGGCTACTTCTACTTGAAATATCAAAAGAAAACTTTTTTAAAACAAATCCTAGAGTGGTGTGGGGCTCTTGGACCCTCTGAGACACTCAGGTAAACATACACAAAACCAGTTAGATGGAGCACAATGTGAGTAAAAAATCCATTTTTGCCACTTTCGCACACATGCACATACCTTGCTGTTTGTCATACCAAATGGGTAAACACATAGATTGCTGTATCCCTCAGGGAAAGGTACTGAGATGTACAGCTGGCTACTATTACGCTAAAGTACAAATTTACAGTAGAAAAGTAAAGGATGGGTCTGCTGGACACAGTGTCATGCTTGATGGGATATATTCTTTTCTCAGTGAGTTAGTTATTAGTGTACAGGAATTTTATTCATTTTTGTGTGTTTATTTTACATCCCTCTACATTTCTGAATTTAGTTATTAATTCTAAGATGATTTTGGTAGAAGTTTTTGGGGTCTTATAAATAGAAGATCATGTTATCTAGAAATAATGATATTTTGACTTTGTTCTTTCCTATACATATATATCCCTTTTCTAAGGTCCGGGGATTTAGCTCAGTGGTTTTGCCACCTGCTGTGCAAGCGCAAGGACCCGAGTTCGATCCCCGGTTCCAAAAAAAAAATATATTCCTTTTCTTTCTTTGTCTTGCCTGATTGCTCTAGTCAATGTTTCAAGGACCATGCTGAAGAGGAGCAATAATAATGGACATTCTTATCTTGTTCTTGATTTTAAAGAGAAATAAGCATGTAAACTTATAAGGCCAATTACCCATCATATCATGCCCTCCCTTAGAACAAAGAGATATATCCTACTATGCTGGTGCCTACCTAATTCATAGGTCACAATGGTGAAAACAGAAGGTGGAAATAAATAACAAATAGAGAATAATATAGTTTGTAAGATATTGCTTCCCACAATAAGCACACATACAAGCAATTCCTGTAGATAGCTACATATTGTCTTTGAAGAAATACTAATAATTCACATATTTTTAAACAGATATATGTAACTGGTGAGTTTTATTTCTCTTAGAATTATTTCAATTAAAGAAACAAGAGAAAGGGTGAAGAATGATCATGAAGAAAAGAAAATAGGTTTTCTATCTAAAGTAATTAAGACATGAGAGAAGAAATCACTAAATCCTCTTACCCATCCCAGAGTCTTTCTTGGTGCCATCTGATATTATGTCTACATGATCAGAGTCCACATCATAACTAAAGAAATCATTCAAATAGGTTTTTGATCTCTGGCCTCCAAATACATATAGGCAACGATTTTTCTGAAAGAGAAGGACAAAGAAGAAAGTCATAACTTCCACAAAGAATTTAGAATGACCCTTTTAAAATTTAAACCTTTACAAAAGTACTTTCCTGACAGACCTCATGCAATGGAGTACTATGCTAGAATAAAGAGGAAGGAGGAAGCTCTTTATGTACTGTTAACACGTGATATCCAGGATATCTTGTTAAAGTACAAAAGCAAGGTACAGAATAATGTATAAAGGTTGCTGCATTTGTGTAAGAAAAATAAAAAATATTACGTGTGTGTGTGTGGGGGGAGTATATTTCCTTCTTTTTTAAAAAGCAAAAAGATAAACCAAAATCCAATGAAAGATAAGGAAGGGGAAGGCACAGAGCTCCTTTTAATCCCTGTCCAGAAAACAAGGATAATAACCAGGTATCTCCAAAATTATCTCGACTTAAGATTTTGACATTAAAAACCAAATATATGCTTTTAATTAGAAAACAAAACTAATTTTAAATAAATCTCAAATTTGAAAAATATAAAGATATGACCACCCAGAAACATGACCATAAGGCATATCTACAGTGATTTTTAATTCAGTTTTTTGACTATCTATTCATAATGGGCTAAATCCTAAACAGAAAAATAATCAGAAATCAATCTTATTATATTCTGTGACTTTTGTAGTTAGCTTTGTTGTTTTACAAACTATTACAGATAGAGCAAGTGATAAAATACTATTGTATAAAGTAAGGTTCTAACCACAAAAGATCCACAAATACAAAGTCAAAGTCATAAATTTTAAAAATTTGTATTTATCATGATTTAGTTTTTCTCTTACTAAGAAAGATATTTGTATATAAGAGCAGGGCTCCTACTGGCCAAAGGCAGAGAAAAAATTGAGGATAAAAAAATAATGACAGCATTGGATTTAAAACTATTAAATGCATAAAAATTCATGTGTTCATAATTATACTTTTTAATAAAAATATCAATTGGTTAGCTTTGGAGCCTTAACTCATAAACATGAAAATCAATAAAAGCAAAGAGCCAGACATTTACATTGCCTATTCTGTATAGTTTACGTTTCAGAGTAACCAAATAGCGAGGTGTTTCTTTTTTTTAATGTGTGGTTTTATTTGGGGGGAAGAAATAATATAATCACAGTTAATAAATGTGTAAGAAACTACATCACTAGAAAAATCACTACTGAGAATCTAGACAATGAATATTAAATTCAAAGACTGCTAAAACTATTAGATAAAAGATTGTAAGAAATTTTATAATTAATCCATCAGGGCTGATAACATCTGAACTCTTTAACATCATCAAATGTATGACAACTAGACGTTAAATGATTCTATATATCACAGTCAGAATGTTTAGGAAGTATTCTTGCACATTCCTTCTTGGTTTTCCCTCAAAAGGAGAGTAAATCCAAAATCAAGCCTCTGGATATAACTGCTAGGTTTTAGAAAGTATGAAAACAGACCATAGTAAATCACACTATGAAGATAAAAGCAGCCAAATTGAGAACACTGAGAGATTCTAGAACACAAATGACTTTTTAAAAAAACAAATAAGTGGTATGTGGTGGTGAGGGAGGAAGGAACAATATTATTATTAAAAAATTTAAGAGACATAACAATCAAATGCAATTCATAGAACTACCTTTGGATCCTGACTTGAACAAACCAAACAGAAAAAGATATTTTTCAGTATATTAAAAACAATGAAGATTGAATATTAAACAATAATAAAATATTTGCTTTTGGTTGGGTCTGATAATGGTAAGATTAAAGTACACATATAAAATATTCCATGATATTGTTTTAAAGCTGTATGCTCACACAAAACATCAAGTTTGTTTTTTGGGTTTTTTTGGTACCGGAGATCGAACTCGGGACCTTGTGCTTGCGAGGCAGGCACTGGAACCACTGAGCTAAATCCCCGGCCCGACATCAAGATTTCATTAAACCATTAAAAAGGATTAAAGAAAAGTATATATACTGATAAATTTTAATTCTTTATTCTATGAAATCATTTCTTAATTCTCTGTACTTAATGGAGGGAAAAACAACAGATAAACTGTTCTAACTGTAAGCTGTAAGAAAGAGAAATAGCTACGCTATCTAGGAAGGCAGTAAAGTTAATCATAAAATTATCTAAGTTAGAATTCAGGTGATAACTACTGATGGGAAAAGCCTCAAACTCAGCAAATGGTTCACTGTTTAAAGAAGTTTTCTTTTTCTCTGTCATTGCTATACTAATCATTTATTTCTAATGAAAAGCTTTGATTTGTTGCTGAAGATTTCCATTTCAACATTCTTTTCCCTATAAAGATATACATAACGAAATAACATAATGCAATGCACAAAATATTCTTACTGAGTGGAATAACATGCAGTGTCCTATCCGAGATTGGATATCCTCAGGCCCAGCATTACAGGAGTCCTCTCGAAGAAGTTTCCAGGTTTGACATTGACAATTGAAAGCAAACAACCCACTGAATTGTGGTTCACTGGCTCTGCTGTCATCCACGCTGCCATTACATGTCAAAATTCTACCACCAAAGGTGTAGATCATATGTTTTTCTGAATCCATACACATCTATCAGACAAAGCAACAAATTAAATACTTTTAGTTTGCTTCTGCCATGTGTGACAAATGAAACCAATGTATTAAATTCTCAAAAAAACCTGAACTTTGTCATTTATGACACTAAATATCAATCGCCCATTATCACAAAAATATACTGTAATACAGTTTACTCCCTGGCACAGATTCAGGATAGATTTCTAAATACTCTTTCAGATTTCCACTTATCCCAGGGAGATTGAAACATGTTGGGTTAAAGAACTTTCTGCTTTCTTGAAACTGCATAATTTTTTTACCAAAATTACCAAAGATATACAATGTATTGAAATATATTTAAGAGTCAATACTGATCATATATAGCAATGACAAGCTTTTCATTCTTCTTATGAAAACATCCTTTTTACTGTTCTAGACAAGCATTCTATTATTTCTCTACTTAATAGGAAAGCAGGTATGCAAATAAGAGTGACGCAGCTAAATTCACTTTTGGGATTATTTTACAATTCTCTTCAAATTATGATGTTACAAAACAGAAAAACAAAGACATGTGCAACGGTTTCCAGACTGACTTCTCTAGTGTGAAAATTTGGTCTCCTTTAATCCAATACTTTCCTTGAATTAAGCTATGCAATTCACATTTAAAAGCCTGATTCTTCCATACTTTCAACTCAAGGAAATTACCACTTTTCATAAAAATGTGATAAAACAGCCATCTGTTACGAGGCAGTAAAACTCAAATTCTTTTTCAAAGAATAAGTAAATCTAAGAGGAAATTAGATGTTAAACACAAATAACATTTATATTTAAAGAATATATAAAACATTAACCTACTTTTCTGCTAAAACACAAATACTGGCTGTATATGTTCAAATCTCTCTTCCCATGAAATTACATCCATTTGTCTATTATTGTATTTTTAATAAAAAGTTTTTTGTTTGTTTTTTTGGTACCGGGGATTGAACTCGGGTCCTTGCGCTTGCAAGGCAGGCGGCGAAACCACTGAGCTAAATCCCCAGCCCAAAAAGTTGTTTTTAATAATTTTAGAAGTTGTTTTTAAAAAGTATTATAAAAGATTCTTGAATCTCCTAATCTTTACCACCCAAACAATCTGTACCTCCTTTGGTATTTCATAGGTTTTTAAAATACTTCTACAAATTAAGATAAAAATTTATTTCTTCCTTCAGGGTGAAATCATGGTGAATATGGCTGGAAAACTAAGATATCAAAGTTTTCATGTCCCTGGCATTCCACAGGTGGTGTTCAAATCTTTAATCTTAAAGGACCATATCATTAAAAACAACCCATACATTGCTGAAGATAACCCAGCATGGCTCCGCTCCATTCAGCTACTGTACCTCTCTTTAGGGAATCACTGAAGCTGGGTTGGACTATCCTGTCTTAAGTACTTAAGGTTTAAATCTCTCCAAATACCTGGTGAGCATGCAGAAAATCCTGACAGGTCTATATGAAGTGAATCTATTTCCATTTTCACAAATTCACAATTCATTCTAATGACCAGTATCTATGGTTCTACTTCATATGGCTAGAAAGGAAGTATCTTCTTTCCTTTTGGAGATATTTAAGCTTAATTACTTATTCTCATTTGTTATATAAACATCTTTATCATGGTAGCTCTTGCTAGCACACCAGTCCAAACCATTTCAAGAAAGAAGTAACATGAGTAACACTGTATTAGCATGGTAATTCTTTCCTATATCTTGACAAACAGGAAACAAAACAGAAATAATTTTATTCCTTCAATTACTTACCTTGATAAGATATATGGTTTCTCTTGATAAGATATATAGTATCAAGAGAGTCAATTATCAAATGACAAATTTAAATCACTCTAGGAAACATTATGGTATTCATCAGCATGGTCTGCTCTTCATTTTTTCTCTCTACTTGGTTTTCAAATTTGTTTTAAAGTTTTGATCTCCGAAAAATGTTTCAGAAAAGCTAATAACCAACTCTGTGTGATATCTTCCATCAAAGATTTTGAGAAGTCTTTTGAGCCAAAAGCAGGAACACTACTCATTATTTCTCTCAACTGACTTTCTAAAGTAAAAGTAATTTCTAAAGTAAAGTTTAATTTCTAAAAACCCAGTAAAAAGCAGGTAATAATTTGTTTTTCTGGAAAAAAAATTCTTTTAAATCTGAAAGTGACTGTATTTTATCCTATCTCAGGAATACAAGATTGGCAAGATTTAGGCTGGGTTCAAAATAATTTTCTTCTTAAAAATTTGAGGTTTTGCTAAAGCCTTCTATGTATCCACTGTTGTCCAATCTACCACCTTTCCTTCTCCCAATCAGATTAACACTTACCTACAAAGGTAACCAGTTTTTTCTCTGTGGTTGTCTGTAAGTTTCTCTTAATCCTTGGTTCTGAAATTTCATTACAGAACTCTCTAGATAGGAAGGCTTTTTTCCTTCTTTCATTCTGATTTGCAGTTGGTAATTCTTTTCAGTCTGAAAATTGCATCTTTTTCAGCTCTAGTAATAGTCTTCATTTTTCCTTGAATATTTTTTACCTCTATTCTGGAACTCCTATGAGGTAGATATTGGAACTTCAAGGCCTCTTCTTTGAGTCTTATGTTTTCTCTCATAATTTTAGCTCATTAATTTACTAATTTAGACATATGCCATAGACATATTTAATCAATTCATGAAATTTCTATTTCACTGTTGGATTTTTATAATTTTTAGATTATTTCTTTTTCATGGATGCAATATTCTTCAGAACTACTTAAAATAACATTTTCTTCAATTTATTCTTCTAGTTATTTTTCTTTAATTCATTACTTTCAAATAATTGGATTTATTTTTCTGTCTAATCTTTGTATCTGAAAATTCGTATTTGTTATGGTTGATTGTGTTCAATTGAGAATTTGGTTAAGAGGAGCTTAACTAAATCAGCTCAGCAATTCCATACCCTAGGAGCTGGAAGACCCATCCTAGGGCAGCTGCTTGCCTGGATGGTATAAAGGGGAAATGAGGAAGCACGGATCTGCTTCTGTTCCTTAGGAGCTCTCGTCTTCACCTTGGATGGCATCTCCTGCCTTCCAGCACAGACTCTTTGGCTTCTGGGGCAGGTCCTTCAGTCTTCTGGTGTAGACTCTTCAGCCTTTCACTGCAGACCCATCAGCATCCTGATACCGACTCACAGTGAGCTCCAGACCTTCGACTAAATCCTTTGGTATCCAGTGTGAAGACAGACCCTCTGGACTCTTCCTCATCAGACTTTGGGTGGCCACTGTAAGCAAATCTTGTAAATTCATATCTATTTGCATATCTTGGGGTTTTTTTTGTACCGGGGATTGAACTTGGGTCCTTGTGCTTGTGCAGCAGGCGGCGAAACCACTGAGGTAAATCCCCGGCCCTGTATATCTTGTGCTACATGTTTCTCTAGTAAATACTGACTGATAGATACATTTGTTCATATGCCTACTGCATATACTGTAACCTGTTTGAAGATCTGGACAGAAAGACAAGAGATAGGATGCTACAAAGGTTCTACAGCAGCTTTCCAGTGCCTTTTGGTTCTATCTTTCCAGCCACAACAACCTCACTTCACATTTTACCTGTAGACAATTATCACTGCTAAGTGCTACAGTGGAGAATGCCCTGTATTTAGTCACCAACTGACCATTTAATATTTATCCCAACTATATACACTTTGAGACTCAAGTCATTTCTCAGCCTTTGCTGTGACTCTAGTCTCGGGTTTCTTCTAGTTGGATCTGATCCTATCTGCTTTCTACCTTTCAGAAAAAATTCTCATGAATTTCTGAAATTCTCTGAGTCTACTGCTTTTCAACACTATTACTAATGTATTCTTTTGTCATTTCAGACGATGTTGAGAAGGAGGATAGTAAAAGTGTATGTTCAGCCTGCTAATAACCCAATTTGGCCCAGCAATAATGCCAATGAGCTGAGATCTTCAATCCTTTGAATTTTTTTCCTGCTCCTTCTTCACTAGCTCATATTCCATTTTCTAGTAATTTCCTCATGGTGTTTATACTTAAAGGACAGTTTTCTAGAGAAGATAATAGCAGCTTAATTCTCAAGTTTTCCATGTTGCCATGTGTGATATTTGGGATAGTTTTAATGTTAAAGTTCTAAATGAAGAAATACCCTTTAAACGTGTCTTCATGCCTCTAGTGTTAACAAGTTCTTCTCAAGTTCCAACATAAAGTGCTAAATCCTAAAGTATCATGAATACCACAAATAATTTTTTGGAGTGCCTTGAACACCACAAGTTGTTAAGTTATAACTTATAGCTCTATTTGCATGAAATAAAATGTAAAACAAGAGGCTATAAAGATTATGTAACTTTCTGAGCAACACCGAGGTAGTTGTTAGCTGAAGCTGCACTAAAATCTTGGATTCTTTGCTCCCAGTGTTCTGTAGTACCATCTAATCAGGTGAAAATCAAGCATTATTTAACCAACTCAACTTCCAAGGGACATCCTATTTTATAAGAGTCAAAAGAGAAAAAGGCTACACACAAGAACTCTGTATGTGCGATATAGTGAGACTATCCCTAAGAATACTTTTTCAACCTATAAACAAAGACATCAGCATCTTTTGTGAAAGAAATATATAACAATTTGGGATCAAGAGAATAAATTTTTCCCTAACAATGTTATCTGCTGATGTTCTGTTTTTAAAAGATCAGAACCAGCCTGAATTCTTGGAGTTCTTATTTCCTACACGAACACTGAAGATGTCAGCAAGCATGTGTATAGCATGGCAGAGCTCAGTTATATAAATGAGCTGATAGCAGTTCCAAGTTCAATCTGGGGAGTACTTTGAAGACTAATGTTTTTGATTTTCCACCCACCACTGACTTGATGAGCATAAGTCATGCCTCTTTTCCTTACCATTATCTTATAATAATTATATATTAATATAAACATGGTAACAGGATAGTTTTAAAGCAAAGAATTAAAAAATCTGAAAAGAGGGCCAGGGATTTAGCTCAGTGGTTCCAGCGCCTGCCTTCCAGACCCCAAGGTCCCGAGTTCCATCCCTGGTACCAAAAAAAAAAAAAAAAAAACTGTAAAGACACAATAATGACTTGAGCTTTAACCCCTACATATGATTTTAGACCTGAACTGAATTTTTGACATAATTCTATTGCCATCTCCCATTTCCCAAGTACAAGATAATGCTATCATCAATGCAATATTAGAAATCTTTTAAAAAGTCTTTTTTTTTCCTCTCCTGTACTCCAAAAATAATGTTAGAAATGGGTGACCCGAGTAAAACTTTGCCTATAAAATCCAAAGTGATTACTATTTTATTTGACATACCGTGAACTGGTAGGAAGTATTCAAAGACAAATAATCATGATAATGATACTGATAGTGATGATGATGGTGACAGCTATCTGCATATTAGTATTAAAATGACTTACAATATTACTATGTACAGTCTACTTGTCTACAAATACCATTATATGATCTTTTGGTGCTGAGTTTAAATTACCTAATCTAGGTTCATAACAAGTTTCTGATTGTAAATTAAAGTAAATACATTTTACATTAATTGGAAAAAAGCTTGAGATTTCAAATTCTCATACTCATTATTTTAAATTTCTTCCACAAAATAAAAATTAAAAAGGAAAATTAAAATGGCAAGTTGTTACTGTTAGGATTCATGAATATTTACCATAAAACTAAATTTGTTTTTCCTAATATTATTCCATCTACTCTTTTTTTTTTTTTGGTACCAGGGATCAAACTCGGGACCACTGAGCTAAACCCCCGGCTCTTACCCTCTAGGGTAATAAAGATTTTATAAATTAACAATTCTATTCTGAGATCTTAGAGCTTATGTTCTGACATCTGCACTATTCAAGAGAAAAAAATTAAAGAATAACATATCTAGTGAAAAAAATTTTTAATGATGTCATAGGTATTTGTGGTAGAGTCACTTGTAGACAACTCTGCATAATATAATAAACCCTATAAGCAAGAATTACTGAACACTAATTCCACCATGTATTTAACTGTATATCAAACCTGATGGTCAAACACCAATTTCGGTCCTCCATCAGCAGCAGTATCTTCACTTAGTAACATCCATATGTTTGTGTCAATGTCATAACGGTAGAAATCACTTTTCAGAGATTTGCTGTTCCTCACAGAGGAATCCAAATAACGTCCCAATGTGTAGATTTGCCTCCGTTGAATATCAATGCACATTTTATGACATGATCTGGCACTTGGGCCATTCTGAAGAGAGAAAAACAGGATGGGGCAAAAGAACAAAATAAAATTAAATGTCCTCTTTTTGCCCAGGAATGTAAGAAGTCAATTAATGTGAATCGAATACTAGATTTAAATCTCCAAAAGAAAGGAAAAGAAGCAGTAGAAGACTCAAATCTTACTCTTCAGTTGCTTAATATCCACCAGGAAAGATAAGAAACTATTTCATACCCTCCAGCACTTGTCTGTTAACACCTGTATGGTTTCTATCATATGCTGCATGGTATTTTGGTCATCTATGAACACAGTTCTCATTGCAACTACCTGACAATCTATATTTGTCCTTTAAAATTATTTTTATATTTCTCACCAGAATACAGCACAAAACAGGTACTTCAAAAATATTTAGAACGTGTAAATTTCAAACTTGGAATAACCTTTAATGAAATCTCAGTTTAATTCTCCCTTTTTAATGATGAGGAAACATACGCCCAGAAAGGAAAGTCTCATCAAGAAAGCCAATAAGCTAATGATAGAAGCAGGGGAATCCAAGTCATTGACTTAGCCATCATTTATATTACATAAAACTGACTCTCGTGACCAAATAACACAACTATATTAAGTAAGTAGGAGTATTAAGAATAGTGTATTACCAGAGAAAGAGAGACAGAAACAGAGAGAGACAGAGGGAGAGAGAGAGTTGAGATCACTTGTATAACAGACTCAACAAAAGGTTAAAAAACTGTACTATAGCTAGAAGAGTTCATGGGGGGAGAGCTTTAATTGGGCAGGGTTTGAGGAGATAAAAAGTAGAAAGGAAATAAAACTAATGAATTAAGGCTTAGTATTTTCTAAATTTTGTTTATATTATCACTTTGTATGTATTTAATACTTAAACAATGCTATAAGGAAACATTATCACTATTTCAGCATCTATATAATTTGTCCACAGTCACAAAACTAAAATAGCAAATCTAAGCCCTAGTGTAACCGGAGCTAAAAACTCTGCTCTTCTCACTATTTCAGATAATTTTTTCCAGAAGAGAAACAAAACCAAAAATACACTTGTTAATACAGTGTATGTGACTATGACTAAAAGGGAAATTTTCTGCTGAAGAACTAACAGAACTGAAGTATAAAGTGGAATTAGGAAGTCTGGTGAATAACTGCCAGAGACTGTATCTAAACTGTAGGCAATAAACTATTACAGGAAAAACAAAAAGCAAAAAACAAAAACTATTATAGGTTCTTAGAGTAAGATATAACAAAAAAGCAATAGTATAAGCAGAATAATGTAACAGTATTGATCAAACTAAGGAATATAAGACAAGAACAACAGCTTGACAATTAGTATCATTAATCCAATACTAAGTTGCTTTGATTCTATATTTTTGTACTCACACTTTTAAAACTTATTTTTAAAGATTTTTGTCAAGATTTCAGCAGATAAGGTGAAATTTTTATTTAAGAAAGAATTTCTTCCATGATTAAAAAATTCAAAAACAAAGATGGAGGGCTAGGCATGCAGCTCAGTGGTAGAACACTTGCCTCACATGCATAAGACTTTGGGTTCAATCCCTAGCACTGCAAAAAACAACTTACAAACATGGAATAATATATAATAAATCTATACCATATTTCCTAGGGTATAAAGTTTGAAATTTTAATAGGATAGTAACAGTACAAAGAGTATTACTCTCTTTGTGCTTCAGGTAAATTAGTAGAATTAAAATGATGAGCAAATTATATGCTAAGCAAGAAGAAAAAGGAAAATAACGATAATAGAAATTAATATGATATGAAGCATTTAAAAGCAGAAAATTAACAAGTTGGTTCTTAGGAATATTGACAGCATTCTAAGCAAGACTTAACTTTTTATAAAGAGTAAGAAAATATAAATTGCCTTTATCAGAAACAAAAGCAAAAGTAGCACTACAGACTCTCTAAAAATTAAAAAGAAAATAAAGGTTTATTATGAAAACCAGGTAGAAGTTGACAATGTAGATAAAAGACATATTCCTTGAAAAAAATATAACAGCAAAATGACTAGAGATGAAAGAAAAAAATGTAATGTCTTTATATCTAGTGAAAAATTGAATTCAGAGTTTAAAATCTTCCCATAAATAGATCTCCAGGCCTAATCTAATATTGACAAATTTCATCAAATAATATGAAATTATTTTAGTTTTAGACAAAATGTTTCAGAAAAGAGGAAGAAGAAAAATCCCATTTAAAAAAATCTGTAGTCTATTTTATTCCTAACTTAATTTTATGAAGACAACATAGCACTGAAGTTAAATGACAATATTACAAAGAAGGAAGAAGAGATGAAGAAGGAGGAGGAGAAGGGGAAGGAAACAAATAATTTATAGGTGACAAGTATTTCTTATGAACACAGATAGAAAATTAACCTTTAACAAAATAATGCCAAACAGAATGTAGCAATATCATATATGAAAAGAACATCTCATAACAAAAGGGGTTTATCTTATGAATGCAAAGTTGCTTTTATATCTGATATCTATGAGGGTAATTTACCACATTAATAATATAAAGGAGAAAACATAACCCTCACCCTAAATAGCTATTCTTAACAAAAATGTTATTTGTGTCAACAAATGTTATTTGTGTTATTTGTCAAATGTTATTTGTGTCAAATGTTATGTGTGATGAGGAAATTTTAAAATTCTTTTCATTTCTAATACAGTAGTTTTCAATAGATATAACCCAAATAAACTGAGAATACCAATGGTTTTCTGCCTAAACATATATAGGGATCCTGAGACCATAAAGTTAGAGATGCACAACTATAACTAAAATCCAGTAAGAAGAACTATATCTAATTCCTATCTAGTCCATAATTCATGAATGAAGTCAGAAATACTTAAAAAATGTAAGAGCTATGATTTAAAAAAATATATCCTTTAATGAAAAGCTATAATCCAGCCTTTTCCAAGATATCTCTTGCTATAAATTTTATTTTTATTAACAATCATAGCTTATAACCACATGACAAAATACCAAATTTCTATAGTTGCCTTTAAAAAAGAATACTGAAGAAATTGGATTGGAACTAATAAAAATCAGTTTATTAACCACTTGTAAGAACAATATATTTGTTTCCAATCTATAAAAATTTACTTGCATATCTACATAAACATTTAAAACAATTTTCTCATTAATAATTAAGCTATTATTTTTCAGTCTCCTAAATATTTTATGATGCATATTTAACTAAGTTAAAATGATTAATTTTGCTTTTTAATTGTGTTACACTTTTAAAATACATGCCCTACAGTAGCATCAAACAATAACTTGTACTCATTGGTATACAAAATTAGATATGCAAAACAGTAATCGCTCAATTTTATAAAAAAATGAGCATTTAAGCCACACCCATACATTACCATTCAATTCACAGATCAACAAAGGTTTTTAGGTGTCTATATGAAGATAGTAATAAACTATAATAAAGATGAGTTGCAGCACTGAGTCACACTATTTTACTAGATAACTTCAAAATAACCAAATCTTCCCATCAAAACAATTATATTTTTCAGCACTAGTTTTAAAATAACTAAGTGTATTCTGAATATTAACTATATCATGTATATGATATAAAAAATACCAGAACAGGTATCTACTTATAATACAGCCTTAGAATATCTACGTTACCTTTAAAATTCCCTGCAAACTTTCTACCTCAAAGCAGTCACTCTCCTGAATTTTGTAGTATTTCTCATTTCCTTGCTTTTCTCCACCACGAACTCTCCATGTAGCTTGCCCTACTTACTGTCTACTTACTCCAATCACTAAGGAGTAGGCACATGTATCTTATCCTTAAAATACATAAATTTTATAGAATATGATTCAGGCCTTTATTCAGAATCTAGATAGACAAACAGGAATACAAACTAAACATCATGTCATATTCAAGAATTAAAAGGGGTGAAATAGCCAGATCATAGTAAGTTTTAAATTCTGCTTAGGGAGGGTAAGAAAGGATTCTCAGTAGAAATGAGTTTCAAATAATCAATGGGTTTTCACTAGGTAAAAGCTAGGAGGAAGATCTCTATTAATCCCAATCATGGAAAAGAACACTACCAAGTGATACAGGTTAGAAAGTTTAATAATTCTAGTAACTCCAGTTAGTAAGCACATGAAGTCAGGACATAAGGCTGGAAAAATAGATGAACACCAAACCTTGATGAGAAATTTAAAGATTTACTCTAAGTAAAAGGAAGGGAGATAAACTGTTACCACGGTTAGTCACATCTCCCTGTGTCTATATACCTTTTAACGGTGCCTCCCACCACATGCTAACCCTGGCTTGCTTACATGATTTTTTGCTGAGACAAGAACAAATTTGATAGACTGTTCATGTGTACTTCACCCTTCTTGCATCTCTGATCCAACCATGAGAACAAGTCCCAGCTAGCCTACAGAAGGTAACTACATAGAACAGAGCCAAACAGTCCCAGCTGAAGCCACCTTAAACTAGCCGACAGACAGCTGACTCCCAGACAAGTGAGTGCACCCAGCCTACACCAAAAGATTGGCCCAGTCAACCTGTAGAGTCAGGAGCAATAAACGCTTATTGCTATTTGCCACTAAAGTTCTGTGAGAGCTTATGAAGAAACAGATGAAATGTAGTAAGTAACTGAAACCAAGACAGAAGATAACCACAGGGTTTAAGTCTAGGTGTCACATGACCAAATCCGTTTTTTAAAAACTTTGTTTATGAATGGAAAACAGATGTAGGGATCAACAACAGTGACCAAAAGTTTAAGAAACCATAAATTTAGAATCAGCCCAAAAAGGAGTAGAGAGGAAAGAATGCTTGAAGCACAATATTGAATGCTGGTGGAACTTTCACATAAATCAGACACATTCAATGAAGAACAGAGAGAATTTTTTTGGTAGTACACACTGGGCTGTATCCCCAGCCTATTTTTTATTTTGAGACTGGGTCTCACTAAGCTGCTAAATTGCCTAGGCTGGGCTAGAACTTAAAATTCTCCTGCCTCAGCCTCCCCAGGGTGCTTGGACTATAGGCCTGTGCCACTGGGCCTGACTGAGAGAGAATTTTAAAGATGAATCCTAGGCTTATTGCCAAAATTATTACAGAAATGACCAAACTGATTTAAGATAGTTGAGAAGAGATGTTAAGTATTTAAAGATAAGTCTTTATGTTAAGGTCAGAAATAATCACTTCAGAAAATGGTACTTCAATACTGACAAAGGCATGCCATTTTTACATACTTTTCCCAAGGTTAAGAAAAAAAAATAAAAATTTCAAGGTCTTTTTGAAAAATAAAAATCACCCAAATGATTAATCCTTAGATTATAATGAGTAAGCAAGAACCCAGTTTCTTAGGATTAAAGACACAGCACTAGACCTTTTGAAATGACTTTCCTAAATGAAAACTAGAGGGGTTTAAATTAGGTCTTTTCCGCTTCACTTTCACCTTTTTTCCTTTTTGAATAGGTTATTTTTCGATTCATAATCTGAAACACTTTGGATAAAGTAAGTAATCTAAAAGTTCTATACAATTTCTGGGAAAAAAAGGAATTAATACTCACTTTATCCCAGTATATAACCACACTTATTTAATTCAAAGCCATAAACCCAAGTCATCTTACGCAGTATGAAAATACTTTACATATACAGAATCCATCAAAAACAGGTATACATCAGGAAAAGAAAAACTTGTATAAATAATACTAAATTTACTGAGACATCATGAGATTAATACAAGTTACCTTTGTTCTCTACAATTACAAGAGTGGTAGCCATTTATTTCCAGACATTTATTAGTATGGCAAACTGAAGTGTGTATAATTTTTTTTGGCAGACTCTATATGTAGACATACAAATGCATATGTATAATTTTAATTTTAAAATAAAATATAGAAAATGCATTGTTATGCAACCTCCTCACTGTGTGAACGTCACTGAATATATTTATGGCTATAATAGCACCAGGCAATGTAATCTTACAGGACCCATTACCATGTATGTGACCCATAGTCAACTGAAATGCAGTTATGCAAGACATGCATAGATAGTGAACCAGTGAGGAGTCAAACTGTGAGACGGTAAGAGGTTAGAACATCAAAAGCATGTTTTTTCAGAGGAAATAAAAATAAAATGAATGCCAAAAACAAGAGTAGAAGTGACAGGGGTGTAAGACAATATATAGTTATATAGTTACATTACTGGGCTAAATTAGTTTAAATATTAACATAAAAATACCCATTTCTATTTATCATTATAAAACAGACTTGTTTGTATATCAGTAGTTGACAAACTAGGTATAGAAGCTGAAATCAAGGAGTACTTAAACTAACCTTGCTTATCACAAATCTCTTCCTATCACAGCTGACAGAGAAGAAATTAATCATGCATAAAAATAAATGTACACCCATGCCCCTAATATAATATAGGTACGTGAAAAGTCTTGGAACTTGCCTCTTTTTCAGTGTCTCTAGAGATACATGTCCACTGGTTCTCCTTCACACTGTATGCCCAGAAGTCAGCAAGATCCTGTGTTCCATCCCAGCCACCAAACAAATAAACAGTCTCTAAAATCAGAAAAAATAAGTTTAAAGAAAAAACATTAAGCATAACAGTCTTAGCCAGTTGTTTCAGAGATCATTTTAAAATGTACATCTCAACACATTTTAAAATGGGATTTTTACATTTTAACTTTCAAAATGTATACCAGCCTAGTATTCCCTAAACATGAATAGATGGGTCTGCTACAGATCACTATTTTGAGAGATTTATTTAAAAACATGATCTCTAAGCCATGTTCCCTTAACATTCTGATTCCACTGTTCTTCAGTGGGTAAAGAGATAATCTGAATTTTCAAAGTACTCCATACGAATCTGATGTGAAGCCAGTTTAGGAGTTTCTGTCCCCGGCTATAAAAAGCTTACATTTACCAGCTTTGTAAAAACACAGCCACTTTTCATCCATTAAAGGTCTATGGAATTTGCTACTCAGACTGTAAAAACTAGAAACCCTAAAAGACTACGAAGTATAGAAGTATAACATAAGAACATCTAGCCATTTCTGAAAAAGTCACCTCAAAAGTGGTTTCTCTCTAATACAATAACAAAAACAATGGTTAAAATTCATTGCAAGTTGAAGTTACATATCTTAATCATAAAGTAATTCACACTTCTGGTATGGAGTTGAATTGTCTTCTAAGAATTTTTGTCATATTTTCATATAATTTCAAACTCTAAATTTTCCAAGTGAAATGCCCAAACTATCCCTAGATAACCTGGAGAAATCCAAACAATGCTTCTCTGCTCTCTGGATAAGAAAAGTCCACTGAAGCAGGACTGAGTTCTAGCACTAACTGGGCGATCAAGTCCAGAATACTTAACCTCCTTGGGTCTTATTTTCTCATTTACAAAACTCTGAGTGTCGTCAGCTCTGAGTTACATGGAAACATTCTGAAGCCTGTCAGGCATGAACAATCTTTCTATCTTCAAAACATGCACAGAGAGGACCCGGGATTTAGTTCAGTGGTTCTGGCGCCTGCCTCCCAAGCGCAAGGTCCCAAGTTTGATCCCCAGTACCAAAAAAAAAAAAATGCACTAAAATATAAAATAATTTTTAGTTTCTAAGTACCACAAATACAATAAAAATGGCATTATTTTATCTGATTCTGGGTCTAATTCAGTACCTAAAGCATTTTTGGCACTGTATAAATGTAAAATAATGGCAATTATTTTAAACTACTAAAAATGTCAAATTTCAGAACCATAAAACAGTCCATTATCATTAGTTTAGTAACATTCTGTTTCACAAATTGCACACAGTGATGCCCAGACACTCATAGTTTTATGGGGGGAAAAATTAAAGAAGTCTCATCTGAATTAAAAATTATTTGTCAAGCCCTCACTACAAAGGCAATTAAATTCTGAACCCTGGAGAAGGACGGGGCATATAACTAAAATAGCAATCGCAATTGACCCTTTTGTTTTATAGTGTTTCTGGGCACCTTTCAGATAAGGTTACTCTGGTTCATTAACTTTAATAACCTTTTCTCTTGGGCTCTGGGTTCTCAATGTTCTTTCTGAAAGCAGGTCTTTTTGTATGCATAAATTCTCACAGCAAAGAAAACCCACATTTCCACAACAGCCTCTTTGATAGTTGAGCAAAATAAAATCTGGCACAGAGTAAGCATCCCAATGGAATTAAGCCAAGATGTCATTCTTGTCCATGAAAGTTTTGTGGTCCAAGTTGAAGTTTAATAGTAAAATTAAATGAATTGGATGAAAACTGGTTTTTGGGGGGTTTTTTGCGGGGAGGACCTTTTGACATACCTGAATGAAAATGTATAGCAAAAATTTTAATTAAATCATTGAATCATTTAATCAAAAAATAAATTATTATCTAGAAATAAAGACCAGCAAAAGTATTATTTAATGTAATACCACAGGCCTTGGAAACGTAGGGTAAAAATTGGAGAGAACTATAGAGAAAAGGAAGTAGAAAAGAGTAAAACAAAAGCATTAATCTTTACAGTGGGATAGCAGACTAGTTTACTCAAAATTCACTCTAATGCCCATAAGAAATAACAATTCATGTACATCCTGGGGCAGTGGAATCTTAGAGGAGCAACCCTTTCCCTGTATTTTTTCTTAGAAAAGCGCAGACTACACTGGCTGTCCATTTCTCCCAGCACTTAGACCAGTATCTGTCAATATTTTTTGAGTACTGATCTGAACTGGCAAAGCACTTTAAAGAATTTTTAAAAAGAAAAACATGATGATGATGATGATGATGATGATGATAAAGTCACTGCCCTGCATTTTCAATCTTGTCAAGAATATAAAATGGGTCCATAAATCACTGTAACACATGATGGACTAAGTGCCATACGAAAGGTTAAAAGTACCATAGCAGTTCAAAAGTGGAAGAGAGCATGTCTGGTTGAGGAGACTCAGGACAGGTTTATGGTGACATGGTATTTGTCCTATACATTACAAGTTTGTGTTCTGGTAGGCAGAATGGGGAACAGAAAAGAGGACTTTTCAAGCAGAATGAAAAGAATAATGGATTCAGATACAGAAAAACATATTCTGAAATGTTTTAAAAGACATTAACATCAAGTAGCTCTCAGCTACAACCCTGGCCCTACTACCAAAGCTCTGTAACCACCAACCACTTAACCACTGGTTTCCTAATCTCTAAAATGTGATGTAGTATCTGACAAGCTACTGTAAAAATTAAAGTATTACAGTTAAACTGTGCTTGTGATGAATATATGCACTTTTTGATATAAATTGGTCAGAGAAGGTTAAATTAACAGAAAAGGTTAAATATTAACAGAAAAGATTAAATTATAAGAGCTTTGAACTTGACTCTACAGACAGTGGGGGAGCTACAGAAGAAGAGCTTAAGGAAGGAGACATGTCACAAGGAAAGAGCTGAATTTGCAGCATACAAGGCTGAAAAGGAGGTGCCAGGGACTGAGAGAGATTGGAGGTAATGTGGTTAATAATAGCCTGTGTTCAAAATGTCAAGTCAATTTCATTCTAAGACACTAAGTGAATGGGTCAATCATTACTCAGGCCCATACTAAATTTCAACCATATTCTTTGGTATAAAATATGTACATACCAAATGGTACCAGTGCCAAATAAACCTTAGGGGTACTTACTACTTGTACTACCAATCTATACAGTTTATATACACTAAAAATAAGGTCGCTATATTAAGAAATGTGAAGACATCATGCCTACTATTTTGCACAATAAAACAGGCTTTTTATTTTAAATATTCAACCACAGTATCTGTAGTTTTAATCTAAGGGGTAAATCAGACTCTGCTAATTATATAATCCTCCACAAGATGGCACACTAATTTTATAATTAAATCTGTCTTTCCATTTTGAAACTGTATAGAACATATAAACTAAGTACTGACATAGCCTAGATCTAAAACTTAAGACAATTTATGTGTTAAAAAGCAGTACAAGAAGAGTTAAAAGACTGGTGATGGAAGTTAGCTTAATTCTTATTTTAAGTAGACACCAAGAGAAAAATAAGTAAAATGGAAAAAGCAAACATATAGAAAAAGTTCTAAGATGACAAATTTGTCTTCCAAATAAAAGAAATCCTGTGAAGACATTTTTAGATTAAGAGTTTGTTGTTCCTCTAAAAGTTCAAGTTAGTAAGCCTGTAAGGATAATTTATATACTTTTTATCATCCTCCCTTTCTTTAAACAGTACTGAGGGCTGAACTCAGGGCCTCTGCACTGAGCTACAGCCCAGATTTTTTTTTTTTCTTTTTTTGGACAGGCTTTCCCTAAGACACTAAGTTCAATCCTGGCTGGGATCAAACTTGTGATTCTCCTGCCTCAGTCTCCCAGAGTTCCTTGAATTATCAAGATTTGATTCATCTGCTTTTTTCTTTTTTAAAAAACAAGTATTTTTAAACTGGTTATACAGATTAATGGTTTTTCTTTTGGTAGATCTGTATGTACAAATACATAACATACTTTGATCATTTTCATGCACCTACCCCCCATCACTCTGCTCCTAGTTTCACATTTTCTAGGGGTGGGGGTGGGATTCAGTGTGTAATATATTTTACTCATATTCATCCTCCCATACCTCCTTTCTTAAATATCCAAAGACTGATCTTTTGAGTGAATTCAACATATACTTTTCTCACTAAAAAGTTTCATTTTATTCATATGATGCTATACCAACTTGTATTCTAAAGTTTGAATTCTTTTCTGATAATTGTATGAAACAAAAATTCAAGTTATACATATCTTCAGAAATATATGAATATGTTTACATTAACAACCAAAACTCATTTTGCTCACCTTCTTCAAAAGTTTCTTTAGGTAAAATCAAGGAAAACCACATGTAGCATCACATAATACAAAATGAAAGCACTTTCATATAACTGCCATAAAAATTGCTCAAGGTTCAAATATTTACACACATGTTCTTCTGAGTAACAAGCAACTCCCCATGACCTTCTTTGGTAGATAGGAAATACTGGGGCTTTCTTAATATCTATTCTGACTGGGGTCAGATTCTCAAAATTTACAAGAGTTATACAACAAGAATAGCCTCATACCACTGTCCTTTACATTTCTTTTCTACCTAGAAGAGAACTCAAGGCCTCACATTTGCCAGGCAGGCGCAGCCTGGCTGAGCTACATTTCCTGGCCCACCATTTACATTTTCAACTGAATAGATTTCCATCCTGAAATAAAATAGACATTCCTTTTCTCTCTTTATATTCAACTTATCTTACCCACAGCTGAAACCCAACTCAACTGAAAAACATTAGTATCATGTACGGAAATTTCAGTCAATAAAACTGACACAGAAATCCAGTAGGACAAAATACTACATTCTTTCTCATCACGGTATGAATTATAGGATTCCATTAAAATGGAAGAAAGTATCAAAAATCAAACAGTAAAATTTATGCTATCATGCACTTTAATGATCACTCTACCCTTTGAGCTGATAACAATACAAGGGGAAATTTTAAAACTTATGACTGCAAAAAGAAAATAAAATTCAAGTACTATTAGATCTTAAAAATATTTAAGAAAACAAGGCATATGAAAGAGTAGAAAGCAACTACTTTGAAATACAAGCCACATTAAATAAGCTCAAATAAACTTCAGTTTTACTCTAGTGACAATGCTATTTAATTTTTTTGAGTGTCTGACAATCTGAAGTCATGGATTCTCATCTCAGAAAAATGTACAGGCAAAAATATTACATGTAACTTCAAAAGATATAGGGCCCTTTGTTCTAAAAATCTTCAAAGTACATACTTAAAAATGAAGATTGGGCTTCTTTAAGCTCTGTAGTATACTTATGCACCAACTTAGATAAGACAGAACTTGCACGTTCTTTGAACTCTACTTAAGGAAAGTCATCCTTTACTACTAAACCTACCTGATCTTTTTTTTTTTTTTTTTTCGGTACTGGGGATCAAACTCAGGACCTTGCACTTGTGAGACAGGGGTGGCGTATCTGAGCTAAATCCCCAGCCATAAATCTATCTGATCTTTATCAACAAAATTCTTAAGTGCATTTCAATTATTTTTTCTTTAAGATTTTAGAAGTATATTTATGGTTTCCTTTTCTTTCTAAAACACCAATTAGGACAGTATACATGGATCTAAAAGATGAAACAAATATATATCAAAAGAATATTAACTTTTTTATAATGTGAGATTGTTGGTAAGTTATTTTTTTCCTCTCAATACTGCCTTTCAAAATTATTTTAAATTGCTTTTCAAAATAATTTTTAAATTTAAAAATATTTGCACAGCAAAATTTTATCAAATTAAACAATGTTCTCTACATTTATCCTTTCAGCATAATTAATAACAATAACTCACAACAACTTAAGTTTGTTATTCTCATTTCAAGCAATATAATGCATTCACAATCAAATAAAGAATCAGTGGTAGCCGGGATTCTATTTCAGATATGCTGGATGCATACCTCCACCTTCACACAAACTCAACACCTAGCCACTCACTACATTTGGTTGCTACATCATTAAGACTAAACTGGAAAAGGTTCCTTCAAAGATGTAGGATAAATATAATCTCTCTAAAGATAACTGCAATCAACCTGATGGTAGCAGTTATAAGAGGGCTCTGGTATCTGCAAAACGAAATACAGCACATGGATGCACCTCATAAAATCATGTTATTAAGTCTTAAAAAAAAAAAGATTTTTAGAGCACAAATATCAAGGATATACCAGATATACTCTTGTGCCCAAATTAATTATTAAGATATATTACCCAAATATTACTCTAAAGAATGCAAAGCACTATATAACATTTGATTTTTCTAGCCAGATCCCAAAGTAATGGTTAATTACAGCTTTAGGAAGTACAGTCTAAAGCAGTGGTAGTGAACCTATGGCATATGTGCTGCAATGGGCACCGAGAGCCATCTCTGTCACCTTGCAAGCCAAGTCACCCCAGCAGCTGAGCATCGGATAACAGTTGTTTTTTCACAACGAAAACATTAGTATTCAGGTTTAATTAATTGCAGTGTTGGCACTTTGCAATTAATAAGTGGGTTTTAGATTGCAGTTTGGGCACTCCATCTCTAAAAGGTTTGTCATCACTGGTCTAAAGAGTACAAATGAACAAGCTGAATTTTGAGAAATTTTAAATGTATTACAATAAGACCAACAAAAATATTCACCTCAGAAAAAATGGGATCATATTATAATAATGACATCAAGACATGATACACTTATCAAGATTTATAGCAGTGTATCAGTATGGTTTCCAACTAGTTTTCACTTGACAGGAAATGAATTTTTGACTTTTTTTATTCAATTGAAAAAATAATTAGAGCATGTCTATTTCATGCCAAGCTCAATGGCCATAAAAATAAATTAGGCAAGATTCTTGTCCTTCCTCTGTCAATAACTCCACTGGGGCTGGAGAGCTCAACAAACAGGAATGGTCTATATAACACATATACAAGCAACTCTGAAACCACAGGGAGAGCAAGCAAAAGTAATCTTAGCATTCTGCAGAATGAGTACAAATTTGAGATGAGACCGGGCAATTTAGTGACTTAGCAAGACCTTGTCTCAAAATGGAAAATAAAAAACACAAAGGGCTGGGGAGTAGCTCAGTGCAAAAGGCCATGGATTCAATCTCCTGTATCACATAATGATGATATTGATGATCATGATGATGATAAAAAAGAACAACAAAATGTTATTTAAGTGTGGGGAAAGAATCATTATTCTGCCTAGATATACTCCTGAACCCCAAACTAATACAGTCAACTGCATATATCTACTTGGACATCTAACTGGCATCTCAAACTTAACCTGTCTAAAATCAAGTTGCTGAAAAACTCAATATATCTGACCCTCTTGTTCTACTCCTAAAGATCAGCTATACTATTTTTCTAATTGCTCAGGTCAGAACCTTAAGAGTTTTCTTTAACTTCTTTTTCGTATACCCCACATGCAATTCATCAGCAAACCCTGTCAGCTCTGTAAGACAGTGTATAAGTTCATTTTCTATTGCAAAGTAACATAATACCACACTGGATGAGCTTTAACAAAGAAAAGTTTATTTTGGCTCACAGTTCTGGAGGTTCAAGGTCAAGAAGCTGCATTTTGGTGATGGCCAAGTCACAAAGAAGGTCACATGGTAAAAGACAAGGAGCCTATATGTATTTCTGTGTATCTTCCAGTCTCTCTCCTTCTTCTTATAAAGCCATCAGTAATTCAACAATGGGGGCTTCACCTTGGTGAACTTAGCCAATCCTAGTCACCTCCCAAAGGCCCAACTCTAAAAACACCATTGTTGGATTAAATTTCTACCTTTTTAATACCTCACAATGGGGATTAAATCTCAATAAATGATCCCTAGGGGACACATTCCAACCAAAACACACCTAAAATCTGACCAATTCTCAACACTACTACTACCATTCTTATGTGAACCAATGCTATCATCATTTCTCAAGTAGAGCTTCCTACAAGAGCTGTCTGCTTCTGCCTTTGACTCCAAAAAAGAAAATCCCCAAATAAAATTTTAATAGAGAAAACATCTTCAGATTTTGGTTTAGGAAGGGAAAGTCATGTCACAAAGTGTGGCATTCTGCCATCCTGCCAGCTCCACTACTATTTTTTTACCCCCAGTTTTGTGCTTTCTTTCTCTAGTCCTAACAAGCCAATTCTTCTCTTTCATACTGAAAAAATAGTGCTTTCTACAATTGGATATTCTAATGTTTTACTTTGCACCTTAAAGGACCTTCACAAATACAGTTCCTTTTCTAAATTGAACACTAGTGAGTAAAATTTTCTCTTATAATATACCCAAAAATCAATCACAACAATCTTTTAACACTTCACTACTTTGATATTCAAAATTCTTTTTTTTTTGGTACCAGGGATCGAACTCGGAACCTTGTGCTTACAAGGCAGGCGGCAGAACCACTGAGCTAAATCCCCAACCTCCTTAATTTTTAAATTCTAATTCTCCTACCATATTAAAATATAAATGCACTGAAAATCCAGAAATACTAGTTCTTTTTGAATATATCACATACATAAACCACACATATGCACACACACACAAAGAAAGGGCTGTATAATACATTTCTTTTAGGTGATGTAATTTCATTTGTGCAGTAGCCTCCTCTATCTCACCTGCTACTTCTTGGTTTAGGTTATGCCTATAGCCAGTGTTTATTTTCTTTGCTACTTAGTGATAGCCAATAACACTTTATTTTTATAACGAATAAAAAGAAGTATACTCCTTTTTTTGTATATTCACTTTTATCTGATGTTTTAAAATGTAACTCAACGATGTACTGGCAGGTTAATATCTGAACTTACTACTAATGGGTAGTAATACCTTAACTCTTAGAATTATGTTGAGACCTTGAAAAACAATTCATAATTTTTCAAAAGATGTTACTTTCCACTGCAAGTATTACCAACCTGTTTGAACATCAATAACCATCTGATGGCCCCCTCTCATTCCCGGTCGGTTATCTTCTCCATCACCTGAAGCAGAAACAAAGTTTTCTTTTAAAAGAACAATAATAAGGAACAACTGCAAATCTATAGTAACTGAGTAAGTCTGTATTGGATAACAAAAATAACTCATACTTACTCTTTCAACATATTAAAAATAAGTAAAAACATTCATAAAAAAACAGTACAACTTAAATCTATGTTTATAATTGCTGTGATCTTCCTTTCAACTGCCTTCAGGCTCTTAATGCAACCAGTAGCTATTTTCAGTTTATTTATGAACAATGGCATAAATCAACAATTCTACAAAAGACTAAGACAAAATATCTCAAAACTACAGTACTGAAGTGTCAAAATGAAGGTACACAACAATCACAAAATTAGGTCTCATGTCTATTCATGTCTCATGTCTGTATATCCCAGTTACAGTTTCTTAGTATAATGAACAGCTTTAAGATTCATAAACTAGCTGCAGAAAACTATGCTATCAAGTTTTATATTAATGATAATTTCTTTACCATATTTATTCTGTGACAGTATTTCAGAAAGTTCCTACACAATTTGTTAACTATTTTGAATGCTGACTGAGAAATTACAAGATTTACTTCACTTTAATTTTTATTTTTACTCAGAGCTTGGCAGGTAAAAATATAATCAGTGCAGATGTTTTTGAACTTCTGATGGAGGAAATGATTTTTCTATTTATATCTAATCCTATTTTACATCAAGTCTTTTACAAATGAAGAAATAATTTCATCTCGATGGTTCAAAAGGTTATAAAATTCCAGCATCTTAATATAAAGAAAGCCTATTTTTTTCTTAATAATGTTTTTCCCATTGATTGAAACACATAACTTAGCTAGTAAGATTTCTTGTTTCACTTACATAAAATTGAGAATTTTTATTTTTTTATTAATTTCACAGGGCTACTACAAAAACAACTGAAACATCATCTCCTATATAGTCATGTACCATTTACAAATAAGAAAACATTCTAAGAAATGTGTCATTGTGTGAACATCATAGAGTATATTTACACATACCTAGATGGTATAGCCTACTACATGCCTAGCTACCAGGTAAAGCCTATGCTATTAAGCTACAAAGCTGTAGAACAGTAGTGGTGAGTCTATGGCACAAATGCCAGAGTGAGCTGTTTGTATCACTGAAAGCTCTAAAAGGTTCACTGTCACTGCTATAACACCATGTTCCTATATTGAATATTGTAAACAACTATAACACAATGATTCGATATTTGTGTTTGTAAGCATACCCAGACACAGAAGAGGTTTGGTAAAAATACCAGGTGGTGGCCCAGGGATTTAGCTCAGTGGTTTCGCTGCTTGCTGCGCAAGCCCAAGGACCCGAGTTTGATCCCCGGTACCAAAAAAAACCAAACCAAAACAAAAAAAACAGGTGACAGGAATTTTTAGCTCCCTTATAAACTTATGGGACCAGCATCACTGACCAAAACATTGTTACGCAGTACATGACTATATACTGAAAATTTGATGGAAAACCAAGCCTTCTCATTACTACTGTATGTGATGGCTAATCATTCACAAATTCCCTATTTCATTTTTCATTTCTAACAGATGGCTTTTTATTTCATTTTCATTTCTTTTTTTTTCTTTTTTCCTTTTTTTGGTACCGGGGATCGAACTCAGGTCCTTGTGCTTGCAAGGCAGGCAGCAGAACCATTGAGCTAAATCCCTGGCCCTCGTTTTCATTTCTAATAGATGGCTTTTTAGATTTTCCAGTTAAACATCATTAAAGGTTTGCCCTTTTCTTCTTCTCCCTCTCAGTCAGTATTATTACTTTAAAGAACTCATTAAGTAAAAACTAATGTATCTGTTTTCACTTTATATTTTTATTTTAATTCATTATTTTCCAAATATACATGTGTCTAAGAAAATTACCTCACACGAGTGATAAAATAGAATGATGCTCATGTTAACACAGAAATTATGAAAGTTTAAGAACAATTTTCTCTGCATATTAATGTCTAATATGATGAAGGGAAAGCTGTCTCATGGTTAAAATGAAAGCTTTAACAATATATTAAGTCCATAAGGAAAAAACTTAAGTCCATAAGGAATATCACATAGAATTGCCTTCCTTTAATGAAAGTAGTGCACTGAAGAACCGTTACACTTTTCACTATATTAACTCTCTGGCAAAGCAGTTAGTGCAGATGAAAAAGTGACAAAAACTACCCTCTGTATAAAAATAATCCAGTTAGTACAGATAAAGAAGAGACAAAAATTCCCCCTCTATGAAAATAATGGGTTAATGAAGAAGTCTAAATTCTTGACTCAGATTCTGGGTGCTGATGAAAACAGTCCCTATTAGAATCTAATGTCCTCTGGGATATATATCTCAAAGAAGAAAGCATAAGCCCCAACCCTTAAGGCTCCAAACACCTTATGGTACTCGACAGAAATGCCTGTAGCAGGGGATTTAGCTCAGTGGTGCCACCACCTGCCTCGTAAGAGCAAGGTCCTGAGTTCGATCCCCAGTACCAAAAAAAAAAAGCCTATAAAGATTCAACTGTAGTATATTTTTATTAGAATTATACTAGTTTTTATCAGTATCTGGTTTGAGGTTCCATATACTTCTAATGGTCTGCCCCTTGTTGTTCTAAGAAGCCTTGTTAAGGTTTTTTATGGTACCAGGGATCGAACTCAGGACCCTGCGCTTGTGAGGCAGGTGCTGGAACCACTGAGCTAAATCCCCGGCCCAAAGCCTTGTTAAGGTTAAAGAGCAACTTTGCTGAACCTAAAAGTTTTCAGGAACACATGAACTTCAGCCTTTAATTTTATTATTCTCTAAGAGAGCAATTTATAACCTGCCATCTAGTTAAGGTACATATATGTTGTTTTTAAATGCCTGCTTATTATAAACAGAGGACTATGACACTTGAGCTATCTTAGGAAAATTGAAGACTGATGCTAAAGAAAAAACACCCCAATCTAGAAGGCATGACTTACCTTTGGTGCTTTTGGGAATGATCTGACTCCATCGTGGCTTATATTCCTGTTGACTGATATACTGATTGAATAAGCCATCTACAAATATAAAAGAATGAGAAAGAATTACATCTTAGCCAGTCTTTTTATTATAGAAAAAAAAAGATTAAAATGTAAAGGCCTACATTAAGAGCAATTACAAATATATCACTAATGTAACAGCACATTTTCATAAAATATGCATCACTTCAGGTTCCTCCAAGCTTCCCCAAATATAAACAGTGAAGTGTCAGTTAACACTACCACATAAACTGCATTAGTGGCAGTAACGTACTATGTTTCCCAACATCACTGCACCTATTATATATAGTATAATATATATTACATATGGGCAAGTATGTGGCATTAACAGAGGATTTAAATAGAGGCCATGAGAGAAGGGGCATCATCTGGGAGGAAAAAAGTTGGAAGTCAATTTAAGGCTATAAAACAGAAACAGACAATAAAATAATTTATAAATAATCTGAACAAATGTCTAAAAGTCAGTGAAACACAGACATGCCCAGACTTTAAAATATGTTTTTGGCACTGATATAAATATAATGGGAAGAGGAAAGGATAAAGATCAGGAAAATTACATTTAACTCCATTATGTGATCTCCCATCACTCATCTTTATTTTAACTACTACATTTTAATCTTTATACCCTCAAATGAGAAGGATTTACTGCACTCAAAACCCTTCAACAGTGGTTTGTGTCAGTACTTTCTGTTATCAAAATACAACAGAACTAGAGAAAAGGAATGGAAGATCAACATCTTTAGTTGAGGCACCTTATAATACATCTTCGAGAGAACATAAAACTAACCCTTTATGGTGCAATTTCCATCATTACACAGGCTTTTGGGGGGGGGTGGTATCGGGGATCTAACTCAGGTCCTTGTGCTTGCGCAGCAGGCAGCAAAACCACTGAGTTAAATGCCCAGCCCAGTTTTGTGGTGTTATTTTGAGTGTATGACTACATAGCAACAAAAGTAACAACAGTAGTAATAGAATTACATTTTTTTTTTTACTTTTATTAGTGTATGTTTGTACTACATAATGATTACATTCACTATAAGGGATTAGTACATGTACATAACACATTTCAATTCCTTTTCCCCCTCTCTCCATCCCTTTTAACTTTTCCAGCATCATATTCATTTATTTATAAGACCTTATAAGTTAATCATCATACATACAGATTGAAAATCAGACTAATAGGCCAAAGAACATGTATGACAATAGTACAAAGGTACATTTTTAGACACATTGTCCACACTGGATTACAATACCTTTTCTCTCTTTATTCCTATCATCTGTCTTTTATTTTGTACTTTATGTACATATTGAGATTTTCATATGAGAGAAATCCTGCGATACTTAAGCTTGTGTGTCTGAGTCACTTCACTTAATATTATGGTCTCAAAGTACTTCCATTTTCCTACAAATGACTCGAGTTTATCCTTTTAATGGCAGAGTAGTGATCTACTGTATAAAAATACATTTGACATTCATCTGTTGATGAATATCCATACATCACTGTGGTATAATGTCTTTAATTCTTTTAGGAAGACATCTAGAAAGGGAAAGCTGGGATAAATGGAATTTCTACTTTTAGTTTTTTGAGGATTCTCCATACTGATTTCCTTACTGTTTGTATCAGCTTATAATCCCACCTGCAATGGTGAAGGGTTCCTTTCTCCCCCACAGCCTTGCCAGCATTTGTTACTGGTTGATTTCTTAATGGCGGCCATTCTTTCTGAAGTGAGCGGGAATCTCACCTTGTTTTAACTTGGATATTTTGAATGGCTATTGATGGTAAACACTTTTTCACGCATTTATTGACTATTTCTATTTCTTCATCTGAAGTGTCTTCATTTCAGATGCCCATTTTAAAATTCAGTCATTAAATTTGGGGAGTCTAATTTTTTTCAGATCTTTATGTATTCTAGATACTAGTCCTTTGTCTGAGGAGTAGTTGGCCAAATTTTTTTCCCATTCTGTAGGTTGTCTCTTCACTCTGTTAGTAGCTTCCTTTGATGTGAAAAGAACTATATTTACTGAATACTTTCCAAATGTTAAAATCTGTGCTGCTTTACTTCTCTGGTTTAATTCTAAAAACATCCCTGAGAACTAGGTATTATCATCTATCTTACACATATGAAAACACATATTTAGAAAAATTAAGGAACTTAACCAAACAAACATAGCTCTTAAGTAGTGGGGTTGTAACTTAGGTTTTACCATCCTTTTTTCTGAATCTTTCATTAATAAATTCTTAATCTACTTCTTAAGAGGAGTTGTTACACTAATTATTACAATTGTAGGGAGTCTGGGGTTCCCACATGCATTCATTCTACCCCAAATGATTATCAAACCCCAACCCATACCCCTCAACAAAGATTTGTTTAGGAATAGTATGGAACACAATTCTTTTTTTTTTTTTAAACGTTATATATCCTTTTATTGGTACATTTTAGGTCAACAATATGACATTCATCATTGGAAATTTGCACCTTTACATACTCTCTTGGTTCTTATTTTTTCCCCCTTCCTCTGCCCTCCCTTTAACCCCTCCATCCCTCTCTATTTACAAAGACTTTGTTTCCTTTTTTCATTTTCTCATATTAATCTATTCCCTTCTTTCCTTTCCCCTACCCTTCCCACTTCCCCTTCCCATTTGACCATTTTCTTCCTATTTCACATTATGTATTACACCTTTTAGTCCTTATTTACACTTTCAGTTTCTCACACTAGAGAAACTATTCGGTATTTACACGTGTG